CAAGAGTTGATTATTGAAAACATTTTTTTTTCTACCTAAGCTGATAGCCTTGAGTGGCTATTTTAGCGTAACCGTGGCTAGTAGGGCTAGTTTGAGCTCACGGGGCTCAAACCTGACGACGATGCTAACACGAACCCTAGCAAGAGCCGTGTTTCGCAGAATCTACCACCGGATCGGAAACGCGACCCACTGAGAAGATCCGGCGAGAAGCTCAGTGGGCTGTGTCTGAGAGTTAATTTACTCGTCGAGCCCTTCGTCGCAAGCGACGGGTTCGCCGCGAACGGTGACCGGTGCTTGAAGTACCTAGAAGCACCGTTAGTAGATCGGGAGGATCCGAGATGACGTGTTTTGGGCGACGTCGACTGCTTTCCATTCTGTCCGCAGGATCGGGAATGTAGTTACCGGTGGCCACGATGAGAGGGTTCTCGTGTCGTGCCGCTTTATCGAAAACGTATATGCTATGTATATATGTACCTACTACATGAAATATTCTGCCTGCCTTAAGATTTAACTATACTCATTATTAAGACATAGTAGTATAGTTATATATAGTATAGTAGTAAGTTTCTACTTGCTCCTCTTTCGTCTTTAGCTGAGAGAGAAACAATTCTAATAAACATTTTCATTGTCCACTTCAACAATTTGATAATAGCACTCGCATTACAAACGTCAGAATTGTAATCGAAGAACACGGCGCCTCAAATTCCGTTTGAAAATAAATTCCCTTAGCAAATTGACGAGCATAAAACGACATGTTCCCGTTTCGGCTATCTAAATGTCTTCTTCGTCATTCAATTTATTAATTCGGATGTGAATTCGCTTCGACTTCGGCCGTAAAATAAGCTTTCTTTGTGACGGTATTATAACGTGTGACTCTTTTCAATGATGATAATATTTAACAACGTTACATACCAACACAACATTAGCTACAGTTTTTTTTTTGTTTAAATTTCAAAATATATACCGAATATAGTCGGTATTCGTTTTTGGAAGCGCATTATTTTATTGTTCACAACTACGAGTAATTTTGAAGTCTAGGACCGACTACGTACGTTTCACTTTTATTTATTTATTGCTTAGATGGGTGGACGAGCTCAAAGCCCACCTGGTGTTGAGTGGTTACTGGAGCCCATAGAAATCTACAACGTAAATGCGCCACCCACCTTGAGATATAAGTTCTAAGGTCTCAAGTATAGTTACAACGGCTGCCCCACCCTTCAAACCGAAACGCATGACTGCTTCACGGCAGAAACAGGCAAGATCGTGGTACCTACCTGCGCGGACTCACAAGAGGTCCTACCACCAGTAAATGTATTAAATATATTGTAAATGTTTTCGAGGCATCGAGACAATTTATAATGTAAATGTTTTTGATGGATTTTTCAGTATGACGTCAGAACAAAGCCTTATTGGCTGTTCACGAAGCCATTGTTTTGTTCAAGAGCGGTCGAGAGCGATCTTCGGATAAGCGCTCGTGAAGTCGTCGCTTTTAGTGAAACAGCGATTTATCTTGGACACTCGCGTGGAGTGCTGGCGTAGCGCAACGTGCTTTTCTTCAACAATCTCTTGCGATATCAATATTTTACACAACGAACAAAGACGCGACCGACATTTCGCTAAAAAGATAACTGCAGAAAATATAAATTCATCCATTCTCTCAACAATGTACAGATTTGTAAATCGTCACAAAACATGTCGTTTATTTTATTATCATTCAAAATTTGAATTTTCTTTCGGAATGTTGACAATTTTAAAATGCGACTACAATTCTAATTCGAGTTATCGGGGAAGTGAACGGAGCGTGCTCGAGTGCTCTGTCTCTTTGGACGAACTCTCTCTCCACTCTCCACACAACTGGCAAATACCATGTAGACGTGACACTTGAACCAGTTTCAGACGATCCGCGTTGTGCGACTATATAGTTTGTTAGTGCATTAGGCTCTGTTGTTTTAAAACAATTTTTCTACGTTGACTCCAAATTAGGTTAATTAGCTATATTATTGACGTGACAACGTCTTATAATTCGATGGAGCCGGCTGCACGCATGAAAAAACATGACTCATGCGGCGTTACCTCGCTCTGAGGCGTTCCATTTAAGGCTTGAGGTGCAAGCGAGAGCGTGCAACGAGCGACAAAGAGGCACAATCGGCCTCCGCGTTCGGCAGTGTTCGACATCTGTCTCTCTCTTACTTGAGTGAGCGATGCATCCGCGTGGACAGCTGCTATACAATAATACATTTACATGTTTTCGTCAAGTATGAAGTTCAGTGAAAATTGAATGTAGTGTCGATTGTTTATAGCAACGATAATTGAAAAATGAAACCATTCGATCAGTATTTTCTTATGACGTTGTCACGTTCAACTATTGTCAGGAAGCCGACTTTACAGACAACCGATTTTTGTTTAGGTTCGAGCACTAAACTTGCCCGCATGGTACAATGTCGATTGGCGTTTTTGAAGCTGCTACTAGGTCTGCCAGCGTGACATACAAGAAAATAAATGGGCTCGTTAGCTAACTAAGCGACGGTCACATCATCGCCCTTGCCGCGTTCGACAGCATGTAAACACGACCTTAAAACCAAACCGGAACGCGCATCTATTTTTAGTGCTAACGTACTTAACGTTAAAAACTATAATAATAAAAAATATAATATTTTTCCGAACGAAAATAAATTATGAACGTTTTGTTTTCTTCTGTAATGCTCTCGTTAAAACATCCGTCGGGATATAAAATTCGTTTTGACCGTGAATTTCAGCTTCCTAGTGGCTCTTATTATGTAATCAAATACAGAGGTAGTTTTTTATTTTATTTACTAAATTCTTAAAAGAATATTATACTACCCTACCCTAAATACTAATACTACCCTTTTTTCTATCAAATTTACAAAATGGGATATTTAGGCGTCGCTAATAAAGTCGTTCAATCTGTGCGTTTCGGTGATGGATTATTTCACTATCATCACGGCAGACGAGCTAGATATGACTAATTAAATATTGAGTGGTCAGCGATGTACCACCTTTTTTTTTAATGCCCGTGTAGACAAACGAGCATACGGCCCACCTGATGGTGAGTGGTTATCGTCGCCCATGGACTTCAACAATGCCAGGGGCAGAGCCAAGCCGCTGTCTACCGTTAAGTACTCTCCACAAGCCTCGTTTGAAGAAGGATATGTCATAGCGCTCGGGAAACATCGTGGAGGGGAGCTCATTCCAAAGCCGGATGGTATGTGGCAAAAAAGATCTGTGGAAAGTCACTGTGGATGAACGCAGTGGCTCCAGGTAGTATGGATGAGCTCTACTCCGGTGGCGTCCGGTGCGATGCGGTAAAAACGAGATAAAGGCCACCTTCAGGTTTCATGGGCTGACGTAAGTAAAGTTAAGAACTACATAAGGATTGTCTACTGCTAAGAATTATCTTCCTCGATTCCTGTGATCTATAGTAAAACATAAGTTTGAATTCTCAGTCACATTGCATTAAAAGCTGTCGGAATCTTTCAAACTAAAACTTATGACGATATCGTCATAATCAGAGAAATAAAAAAAAAAGGTAAATAATTTTCGCTGTTTTTATTTGCCAAGATTGTTTGTAAAGAATACTGATTTCAAATCCTTCACATTAACTCTCACATCATGAACCGTCCGCACCAGAGCGTTCAGCATTAACATTCCACCATCACCAAGAGCCTAATGGTAAATTTATATTTTACTATCATCGTACGTACTCGGGTTATCAAAAATACATTATCTTTACGATCTGGTGATGCTACATTTATGTTTCGAATTCGCATCGAATTGATTTCAATGTGCTACTATTTTTGGGAGCAATAAAATATTGATGTAAAAATTTATTTATGCTATATAGAGTTACTAGCTGTACCAGTCCGCTTCGCTGGGCATTTAAAATTAACATTGTTATTGCTCACCCCCACAAAGATTCTCATCATTAACGCCCCCGCAACTGGTGTAGGAAGTCCAACACTTATATTAATATTAGCCTATCCATTAATTACATGTATTTTGTACATGAATACAAAGTTTCAAGTCAATCGGATGCATGTTTCAGTAGTTATAACGGAACATCCGTAAAAACCACTGTAGATTTATATATTAGTATAGATGTAGGTACCTTACCCGCCACAGCTTCAGAAGCCACATCTACCCTATCTAAAAGTCTATTCCGTCCGTAATATGACAGTAGTTCGCTTGCTTCCTACCACGAAGCAGTAATGTATTTGGGTGTGAAGGGTCAGACAGCCGCTGCAATTAGACCTTACAACTCGACGTAGACGGTGACATTCATGATGATGTCGTCTATAGTCTCCGGTAACCACTTAACACCCGATGGGACGTTAGCTCGTTCACACATCCATGCAATAAAATCGTAATAGTCGATTACTCTTAGCAGAGCAATCGCGGTCATGTCGAATCCTTGTTTTTAAATATATATAATAACATGGACTACTCCAGAATGAATAAACAATAAAAGACTTAATTACGTTTTCTGTTATATAATAAGGAAACAACATTTAAAGCCCTTAATCTCTTTTAAAATTAATATAAAAAATTAAACAGTATGTATACAGTAATAATAAACTATACAAAACTGAACTTTCGTTTTACGGAATGACCATAGACCTTACTTCAGTGGGAATAACAGACTTCACTCCATGACACTGAATGACACTGAAGAAAAGCCCTTTTTAAAAACTGGTTTTAAATCATAAAGGTTTTTCTTAACATAATATATATAAGTAATATATAGCAATAAAATATCTTACGGCAATTATTGCATGATATAAAATGTCTCAAGTGCTGTAATACCTACAAACCAACTCGAAACGGATTATCTTTTCAAATATAGCACTCAACTGTACTAAACAACTTTATCCGGCTTTGGATTGACCTTAACCGACCTTTAGTCCGATCCGAGGTCAAAGTGACAACGGACATCGCTTAGATCAGATGACCGGTGACATTAGTAATATTGTTGTTTTGGTCAGGTCACTGCCGAAGCTCAGCAGCCAGGAGGAGGACACCGGTCGTCCACCACAGAGCGGGGTCGTTACGTTCGAGCCAATCCAACACGACCACGACTTCTGCGAGCGAGTTGTCATCAATGTGAGTACATTTAATACTTAATAGTGCACTAATTGAACTCATCGTCATCACCTTCATAATCGCGGATAACCGTTGGGCATTTTTATAATGTGTTATTCAACAGAAGGATTACCTTATGCTCGAACTGACCCTGGGTATTAAAGTAATATGGACTGTGAATGAGGATATGTGAGAGAAGGGTGTGGCGAGTGCAGATATGATGTGTGATAAGGTCTGAAAGAAAAAGAGGATATGCTACAACGACCCCATAAAACGAGATAAAGGCAAGAAGAAGAAGAAGAAGATTGACAGAAGGTTTCGGTCACTATTACGTCAAACTATTACTTTTTTTATTGCTTAGATGATGACCTATGAGAACCTATAGACACCTACAACGTAAATGCCGCCCCCACCTTGAGATGTGAGTTCTAAGGTCTCAGTATAGTTCAAAGGCTGCTCCACCCTTCAAACCGAAACGCATTACTGCTTCACGGCAGAAATAGGCAGGGTGGTGGTACATAACCGTTCAAACTCACAAGATGTTTTACCACTAGTAAAAGCTGAAGTTCTTAACTGAAACTGTTAGGTAATATAATGTAAATGACATCACCAAGCTTGATTGATATTTCGGCTACCCTGGCCGTTAGATTGGGGCTTGAGGTTCTGGCAAAAACGGTAAGGATCGTGGTAAAGACCCATGTTAGCCTAGAGTCAGTAGTCATGATATTAGTAAGTGGGCAGGTCAAAGAAAATAAATACTACTACTACTACTAATAATGATAGTGTATTGGACAGCGAATGACACAGGACACCCAACCTTTTATTCATATGCAAACAGACAAAGCAGTAAACCTTAATACTTTCAAATATTTAGTTTTTCAATCACTTTTTTATTTCAGAAGATTGAAAGAGAATATTAAAGTTTTAGCTTAGACCCAATCCATTTAATTCAATCGCCACATAACGTATTTGATGATGTAATTTTAAACTTAATTCATCTTGATAATTTTAAACTTAACTGAATAATGAAATTCATAAAGCATAATCACAAAAAGTACATATAAAGTAAATTCAAGTCATATTTTAATCTATGCCCGCCCCATCTATCAATGTAGATCCGGTATTAATTAGTTTCCGAATTTAAATAAATTCACACACAGTCATAAAAAAGTAAAACTATTCACAAACAAACTCGTATAAAACTGATTTTTCTTAAATGTCTCACGTTATGAAACTGACATTATGCTTAAGGTAAGAAAAAAGGACTTTAATAAAAAGCTTAAAAATCTTGCATTTCCATTTGAAGTTTCCGAGCATACTAGGCGAAGTTTAATTTAAAATCTGAATTACTTTTAACCAAGTTTGACTAAGCCTTAGTGAAGTATCACAAAGACAGTTGAGAAAGCGTTCATTTTATAAAGCTCGTTCAAATTAAGCTGTATTCGTACTTCTTCTTAGTTCAGCTGATGACTTTTTTACAAGTTTTTTATTAATTTACTAACTTTAATTGACTTCTTTCCGTGTACAGCTTCGCTCGCGATTTTACTTTCTCTTAAGGTTTGGCCCCGTTGGTATATAGGCGTACGCAAACAATTTATTTGACACATTACCGATATTATTCAGCCGTTAGGTCCCAAATCACTACATAGTATAAAACAAAGTCGCTTTCTCTGTCCCTATATCCCTATGTGTGCTTAAATCTTTAAAACTACGCAACGGATTTTGATGCAGTTTTTTTGAAGAGATAGTGATTGAAGAGGAAGGTTTATATGTATAATAACATCCATTAAATAGTGGAGAAATCAATAATAAATTACAGTTTCCGAAGCGAAACGAGGGCGGGTCGCTAGTATATATTATATAAAATATATCTATCAAATCTTTCGAATTGAAGTGACTTAATCCAAAACTTCTAGATTTTGGTAAACGCCAAAAATTGTGATTGAAGAATTCACATTTTTTAAGTTTTTCTATTAAAATACTTTAACTTAATCGATTGACTAAAGGAGACTGTTTAATTTTATCAAAACTCATAGAACACATGTTCGTAGGTGGTTCATTCAATTTCTTAAAATGTTTATTTAGACCATTTTTAGAGAGACTTTTAGTGAGTACGTATTGCAAATCTACCTCTTTTATCGCTCTTTCTATTAGTGATAGCCGGTTCAAAATCAGTCGACCGGCTTAGAAGAAGTAAGCGGATAAACAGAAAGAGGTAGAAAACGACTTTGCTTTATAGTGCGTAGAGATTTTTGCTAACTTCTGTAGTAACTGTTTTATTAAAATAGAAAACATTGAAATTGAACTCTCATTCCATCTTTTAAGATTATTAGATTTCCTTTATAGTTAATAATTCTCTATGACCCCTGTTATTGTTGGGTTCCCAGTTAAGGTTTGCATTTGTTAAGGATATTTGATGTTGATAGCCAAATTGTAACCGTTCTTATCACATACACACGTAAGAGTACCCACCATTATTTTCCATCTTTCCAAAATTATGAGCTGGTTTCCACTTATATCTCATGGTGGGTGGCGCATTTACGTTGTAGATGTCTATGGGCTCCAATAACCACTTAACACCAGGTGGTCTATGAGCTCGTCCACCCAGCTAAGGAATAAAAAAAATACTCTTTGGTCCATATCAACAATTTTCCTTGCCACACGAAATGTTAATCTTCAATCGTGATACAAACGCACTGCTACCATACCAGCTATAAGTTCTATTCTCTATCAGCTCACAGACGTCCACTGCTGGACATAGGCCTCCCTCAAGCCTCGCCACAAAGATCTGTCTTGCGCTGCCTGCATCCAGCGGATCCCCGCGAACCTCAATAGATCGTCGGTCTATCTTGTGGGAGGTCTACTCACGCCACGTCTTCCTGTACGCAGTCGCCACTCAAGAGCTTTCTGGCCCCAACGATCATCCGTTCAACGAGCAATGTGCCCTGCCCACTTTCACTTCAACGCTACAATCCTTTGGGCTATGTCGGTTACCATGGTTTCCCTGCGAATCTCCTCATTTCTGATTGGGTCTGGCAGGGAAACCCCGAGCATAGCCTTCTTCATTACTCTAGCTATACCCATAAATAACGATATTACTCTACAGCGTTTCTAACTACATAACACAAATTCAGAGAATTCTCATTGAGAACTATTGATTCAGTCAGCTTCTGGCTCAGTTGTACTTAAACTTCAAGAAACCGAAACTTGTGTTATAACCCCGGCGTTATTGGACGATCTTGTTTGAATAAAGCCTCAGGCTGAGATTGTACTAGTTTGTATGTGTTCAAACACTATTAGATTGTATTATAATTCAGACCACTGTTGTGTTGCAAGCGTATGATTGTTGGATTCCCTTAATTTGTGTTTTAATAAATCTAATTAGAATTTCTTATTTATATTTTGCTTAAAATAGAGAATGATATGTAAAATAACCAGGCCAGTCTGGCGCAATATATGGGAAAATTATTTCTGAAATGAAATCCCGTGATATTTCCGGCTTCCTTTTGTTGTATAAGTAGCGGTTTTTACGTCTAATCCTAAGCAGAATACCCAAACAAATTTTACAGTAGGTCCAAAAGTTTCAATTAATATAACAGTCCGAAATAAAATTCCGATCCGATATTAAGAAATTTTTATTTGAGACTAGCAAACTAATCACAATATTAAGTATTTTTTAGAGTATACATTTGATTCCCTGTACATTAGATATAAAAAAAAACATATTCTTAATTTTTGGCAACACCGAAATACGAACAGTAAAAAAGAAAAAAAAAAAGAAAATGCGATATTCTTTTTCTTTGATATGATAATAAGGAATAATAAGCAAATTGCTAGTTTCGTTCGTCGAATACAATTTCACGTTACCTTCAGTTCAAAAGAAAATCTCCGAAACGGCTAAAACATTGAAACGAAAAAAACATTCGGGAGTGTTTAAAAGTTGTTCTTTTGATTACGCCGAAATTAATGAACTGAAACCACAGAGGGCGTAAAGACGAGTCGGACAACATTAGCTTGCGAAAACAAATAAATAGAGTTTTCATTGCGAGTAAAAAAACGTTTTTTTTTTTTTTTTGTTATAACGTTTGTAACAAAACGGTACGGAGCGCGCTTGTTTTACTAGAAATTTGGACAATTAACTTCCTCGACAGTTTTATTAGGGGCAACGTATATTGAACAGTAAAACTCACTTTGCCATCGCATTGTTAGTTGGACTGAAACGAGTTTGCGATAATAACTAAGCTTATGATATTTAGTGTTTTTTTTCATACCTAAGCTGATAGCCTTGAGAGGCTATTCGAGCGTAACCTTAACTAGTAGGTGAGCTCACGGGGCTCAAACCTGATGACGTTGCTAACACGAACCCTAGCAAGAGTTTCGCAGAATCTACCACCGGATCGGAAACGCGACTCACTGAGAATATCCGGCGAGAAACTCAGTGGGCTGTGTCCGAGGGTTAATTTACTCGTCGACCCCTTTGACGCAAGTGATGGGTTCTAAGAGAACGATGACCGGTGCCTAAGGTGAAGTACCTAAAAGCACCGTTTGTGGATCGGGAGGATTCGAAATGAAGTGTTTTGTGCGTTGTTTTGTTTTGCTTTCCATTCTTTCCGCAGGATCGGGGATGTAGTTACCGGCGGCCACGATGAGAGGGTTCTCCTGTCGTGCCGCTTTATCGAAGTGGGATATTTAGATGGAATCAAATACCTCTTTATGTGGAGTTGTTTTTTTTTGTCTGCTTGTATTTCATTAAAAGCGTTACAAAAACATTAATGTCACCCTGGATGCGATCAATTGTTTAAGACGAATGTAACATAATTTGTGTACTAATTTAAAAGGACAAGATAAAGGAAAATAAAGAATTTTTAATTGTGTTTTAAAGTAAGCTAACTTAAAGATAATGTCCGTAACATTGTAGTTTAAAAAGTAATATTATATAATACATAATCTTAAAAACACAACACAAATGTTTAACTTTGGGTACATTTCGTGAATAGTACATATAGGTATAATGGTGGCTC